CGTGGTGGTGGTGCGGTGGTTTCTGGTGTTGTGGTGGTGATGGTAGTTGTGGTGGTTGTTGGTAAAGGTTGTGGTGGTGGTGGTGGTGGCGGTGGCGGTGGCGGTGTTGGCGGTGGTGGTTGTGGTGGAGTTGTGGTTGGTGGTGGTGGCGGTGGTGGTTGTTGTGGTTGTGGTGGCACGTTGTGGTGGTAGTGGTGTTGATGGCGGTGGTGGTACGGTGGTTGCAGGTGGTGGTGGTGATGGTAGTTGTGGTGATGGTGGGTTCAGGTGGTGGTGGTGGTGGCGGTGGTGGTGGATGTGCGGTGGTTTGGTGGTGGTGGTGATGGTAGTTGTGGTGGTGGGTGGGTCAAGGTTGGTGGTGGTGGTGGTGGGGGTGGTGGTGGTGGCGGTGGTGGTGGTGGTGGCGTGGTGGTGGTTGGTGGTGGTGGTGATTGTTGTTGTGGTGGTTGGTGGTTGTGGCGGTGGTGGTGGTGGCGGTGGCGGTGGTGGTGGTGGCGGTGGGTGGTGGTGGTGGTGGGTGGTAGTGGTGTGGTAGTTGTGGTGGTGGTGGTGGTGGGTTAAGGTGGCGGTGGTGGTGGCGGTGGTGGTGGGTCAAGATGGTGGTGGTGGTGGTGGCGTGGTGGTGGGTGGTGGTGGCGGTGTTGGTTGTGGTTGTGGTGGTGGGTGGTGATGGTGGTGTTGGTGGCGGTCGTGGTGATGGGTGGTGGTGTGGTGGGTCGTGGTGGTGGTGGTGGGTTGTGGTCGTGGTGGTGGTTGTGGTTCTGGTTTGTGTTGGTGGTGTTGTGGTGGTTTGTTGTGGTGGTAGTGGTTGTGGTGGTGGTGGAGGTGGTTTGGTGGTGGTGTGGTGGTGATTTGTGGTGGTGGTGGGTTGTTGTGTTGGTGGTGGTGGTGGTGTTGGTGGTTGTGTTGTGGTGGTTTGTGGTGGTGTTGATGGCGGTGGTGGTGGTGGCGGTGGTTTGTGGTTTGGTGCTGGTGCTGGTGTTGGTGGTGGCGCTGGTGGTGGTGGTGGTGGTGGCGGTGGTGGTTTGTGGTGGTGGTGGTGTGGTGGGTTGTGGTGGTGGCTGTGGTGGTGGCTGTGGTGGTGGGTTTTTGGTGGTGGTAGCGTGGTGGTGGTGTGATAGAGTGGTGGTGGCTGTGCTGGTGGTGGTTGAGTGGTGGTTTGGTGGTGGTGGTGGGTTGAGGTGGTGGTGGTTGTGGTGTTTGTGGTGGTATTGGTGGTGGCGGTGGTGGCGGTGGTGGTGGTGGCGTCGTGGTTTGGTGGTGGTGGTGGTGCTGCTGGTGGCGGTGCTTGTGGTGGTGGTGGGTGTTGGGTGGTGGTGGTGGTAATGGTGGTGGTTGTGGTGGTGGTGTGGTGGTTTGTGGTGGTGGTGGTGGTGGGTTGTGCTGATGGTTGTGGTGGTGGCGGTGGTGGTGCTTGTGCTGGTGGTGGTGTGGTGGTTTTTGGTGGTGGTGGTGGTTGTGGTGGGTTGTTGTGGGTTGTGTTGGTGCTGGTGGTGGTGGCGTTTTTTGTGGTGGTTATTTAGTGGTGTGTGGTGATGGTGGTGGTTGTTGTGGTGCTGGGTTGTGGCGTTTGTGGTGGTGGTGGTGCTGGTGGTTGTGGTGGTGGTGGTGGTATTGTGGTTTGTGGTGGTGGTGGCGGTGGTGGTGTGGCCTTCGGCGCTTCCCGCCACCATGTTTTAGCATTGGACCAGAGTTCCAATGGATGCCTCTTGAGGTCTCGTCAGAAGGGTCTCGGGGGCGTCTGAGGAGCATGCGTGAAGCCTCGTAGGCCTTCCTAAGGGCCTCTCGGTGGCTTCTGGGGGGCGAGGGCTCGGTATTGCGATCTGTTGTTTCCCTCTGCGGCCTCTGGGCCCTCTCTGGTAATCGTCGCTGCGTCCCCGCCGTCGGCGCTGCTGGCCGCCGCCAGCGCCGGCGCCTGCGCCGGCGCGGGGTGGGTGGGGGGTTTCGACTGCGACGGCGACGGCGACAGCGACGGCGACTGCGACGGCGACGGCGACGGCGACGGCGACGGCGACGGCGACGACGACGACGACGACGACGACGGCGACGGCGACGGCGACGACGACGGCGGCGGCGACGGCGACGGCGACGGCGACGGCGACAGCGACGACGACGGCGACGGCAACGGCGACGGCGACGGCGACAGCGGCGGCGGCGCCTGCGGCGACGACGAACGCGACGACAGCGGCAACGACAACGGAGAGCCCCAGCTGCGAAGGCTGGCTGGCAGCTGCCTCGCCCCCCAGAGGGGCTGCCGGACGCGCTGCTGGGGGCGCTGGCGGCCATCCGGGAGGCCCCCGCTGTGCTGGCGGCACAGGTCCTGGCGTCGAAAGTGGGAGTGGCACCAGCGGGAACGAGGACTGATAGCTCTGAGAGTCCAGACCTCCTCTGCTTATTAGGAATCGCGACGGCTGCGTTTCTTCTCTACGTTTTCGGCCTGCCTGGCCGGGCCCCGAGGCCGCCAAGAGCCTTATACTCAGAACGAGAAGCTGGTCCTGGGGAATGAGTCGGAACCTCTGGGGGTCGATGTTACGAAGCAGTCATGACGTCGGGGGGATCTTGGAGAAGGGCGCCCCTCCCTGTCGTTCTTCGATGTTGTTTGCCCTGCTGGAGGCTTCGCGTCGTCGCGGCTGGATCCGCGCCAACAGAACGAGCCGGATGGACCTTGGGAGGGGTTGGGGGAATGGTCTTTGGGAGCCAATGTGGGCCCGATCTGGGTGGACCTTGGGAGCGACTTTGTGCCAGGCGGGGGATCCGCCGTGGTCTCGACTGGCCCTCCTCCGAACATCACTCCCTGCGCGGTTGGGACTGGTTTTGCCCCATGCGGCGCTTGGCGCAGGGCCCCGCCTGTCGCGCGCCCCGCGTCGCTCGCCCTCGGCGGAAGGCGGCGGAAGCTGGGAGAAGTAATGCGAGGGTGGGCTGGCGGCAGGAGTAGAAGCGAGACACCTACATTTTTGGATCGGGGGTTTCCCGAGCCGGCCACATGTTTCAAGGCAGTCGCGGCGCTGTGACAGCATTAGTCACAGTCGATTTCGGGCGTCATATTCCCTGGCGTCACATTCCCTGGCGTCCGCCGATGTGCCTTTGTTCAATCCGCGGCTCCATTAGGTCCCGACCGCTTCCCTGGGGGTAGTCCGCTTTTCGTCCCGGCTTCATTTTGTTTGGCCTCGGGGCCCGAAAACAGCCCTCGAGGCTCGATCTTTGGGAGAGCGCTGGTTGACAGAGCCACGCCGTCGGAGGTCTGGGCCAGCTGCTCTGCATCGTCCCCGCGGGTGCTGCCCTCCCTGTTTCGGGGCAGGGCTCCGGCGGGCGCGGGCAGCCTGTGCGGGCCGCTGCCGTGGCGGCAGCCCCGCCCCATCGTCGGGGCTTGAGATCACCGCCCACCACACCACACCAACCCAGCCAGAAGGCCCTGATTTTCCCTCCATTTCCAGTGGGGGGGGGGGGTCGGGGAACATCGAACAAGCACCTGCGGACCCCTCCCCCCCAAGCCCGAGACGTGGGTCTTCTGGTCAGGTCTGGGTTGTCTGGTGGGTAGTAGTCACAAGAGGTGGGGGTCAATGCAAATGGGGGTCAGCCAGGGCGCCAGATCTTGCAGGATCCTGCATCGCCAGGGTCGCGACCCGGGCTTGGGCGCAGGATCCTGCAGGATTCTGCAGGGTCTTGCAGGCTCCTGCCAGGCCTGCCAGGCTTGGATTGACCCGGGTCAGTAGATCCCCGACATCGGGGGCACCAGCTCTCCACCCACTGCAGACCGCCGGGCGTCGCGATCACAGTCACGACCGGGGCTCTTGTGCACGGTCTCGACCTCTCGGGGCCGATCTCATGCCATGGGGCTGGGGAGAAGATGGGAAACTGGGCCTGTCCTGGGGATGAGGTCAAGAGCTCTAGGTTTAGGTCGGGCGTGCCCCCCTACAGGCGGATTTCGGACGAAGAATAACAAATACCCCAACCATGCTCCAGAAATGTTCCAAGATTATCACAAATCGTCCCCATTTTTTTTCCGTTTTTAGTATCCCCCCTGTAGAGGGACAGGCCCGACTTACTTCTAGGTTACCTCTAGGGGCGCGAAGATGACCGCGCTCCGCGCGTCGCGGCGTGGGCCGGAGGGCTGCCCTTCTCCAAGGTCCATGGCAGCTTCGCGAGGGCACGGCGACAGCTGCACGCCGCGCACCGCGGGGCGCGATGCGCGAAGTTTGGTGACCTAGGAGCTCCAGGGTCCACGCTGCGAAGCAAGCGCCGGCTCTGGAGGCCTGGGCGCACCGATCTGCGGGTGACCGCGCCCCGCTGGCTGGGCCAGGGCTGCGCATCCGCCAGCTCAGGCCAGCATCGATGCAGGTGGACAGTTGGCGTCCCCCGACCTCGTCCAGCGCCGCCGCCGGGCTGGACTGCGCCGGAGCAGCCCGCGCCGCGGCCTCCGGAGCGGACTGCGCCGCCGGAGCAGCCCGCGGCACCGCCCGAGCGGACTGCGCCGTGGCCGCCAGCCGCCGCGGCTGCCTGCGCCTCTGGGCTGGAGCCCCCCGGGGCCCCCGGCCAAGCCGCCGCCGCCGCGGCGACACCCCTGGGTGGTGCGGCTGCCCCCGTCGGAGGCGGAGGCAGTGCAGCCAGCAGCGACGGCCCAGGCGACGAGTCGGTGGGCGACGCCCCGGATCCCGTGGCAGAGGAGCCAGGCAAGCCCGCAGAGCGGAGGGGCGGCGACGACGATGTGGGCCCGAGGCGCAAACCGCCCCCATCAGGCGGCGGCGGCGATCCCGCCGGGCCGCAGCCAGGGGCGGGTGCCGAGAGGGCGCAGCCCAGCCCGCAGGCGGCAGAGCCACTGCGGCCTCGTCTGGGCCCCACCCGCCTCGGGCAGCCACGGGCGCCGGCGGCGCTGGTGGTGGACCTGGACGAGCGCGTGGGTGGTGGGCGCGACCTGGCGTTCGCGGCGCGCCTCCAGGAGGTCCTGGGCGTGGGCCGAAGGCCGCAGCGCAGCACGGACGAGGTGCAGCTGGCGCTCTGCTCCTCAAGAGCCGGGCGGGCCGGGGCCGACGGCTGGGTCGCTCAGGCGGCCGGCGGCGTGCGCTTGCGGGGGGCCCCGGCAGCGGGCACCAGCGACTCCCCGCTCGGCACTGGCCTCGCAAGCGGGGCGGGCGCCACGGCCAAGCCGAGTGCGCTGCTGAGGGCCGTGCGGCCCCACTTCGGCCGCGGGGGGGGCAGTGCTGGCGCTGTGCAGGGCCGGCCGCTGGCGGCGTCGGCGACAGCATGCCGGCCTGCGCGAAGAACGATGCCAGCATCGCTGGCAGAAGCAGCCCCATTCGGACTGCGGAGTCGCGCCGCGGCTGCTCAGCCCTACCCACAAAGGGGGTAGAGTTTCTGCACCCGCTCCCAGTTCATCGCCGAGCCGCCCGCGGGGCTGTCACGGAGCGCCTACCAGAGAGCGCCCGAGAAGGCAACACCAAACCCGTCCCGACGTCGTCGTCGTCGTCGTCGTCGTCGTCGTCGTCGTCGTCGTCGTCGTTGCACTGGTCGTCGCCGTTGCCGCCGCCAGCGTTGCCGTAGTCGCCGTCGCACTCGACGTCGCTGGCGTCGTTTTCGTCAGACTCCTCCTCCTCCTCGTCCTCCTTCTCGTCCAGCAGGCCGGGTGATGGGGGAAGGCAAGGGGGCCGCAGGAGCTTTCTCAAAATTGTGGATTCGGTGTACTTATGATTCCTTTCTGGGAGGGCGAGAGAGGCTGATAAGGAGGGGCTCGAGGGATGAGGGGGAAGACGCGGGGAGGGAAGGGCGACACCGACTCCCGACCTGGTACGTTTGTTCAGTTCGTGGTGCCTGGGGGCTGCCGACTGGATCCATCGCTTGGACTTCGCGTTTCAGCCCGAAGTAGCGGCATAGTCACCATTGTTCACGACGCCTCCCGTTCATCCTCCCTCCCCTCCCCCCTTTCCTCCATCCCCCTCCTCCCCTCGCTCCTTCTGCCCCCGTCCACCACGCCTTCCCCTCACGAGCGAGACGCTTGTGGGAGGTCCAGCATAGAGCCAGGCCGACGGCTTGGCACTAGCAGCAGGTCAGACAGAGACCGCACGCAAGGCCGAGAATTATTATTCTTCTTTCTCTGATTCGTATGATGATTCGACTTGTTACTATTATTGTTACTCGAACTAGTATCATTCTTATTAGTTCATTATTAGTATGATTAGTGTGTTTCGTCTTCCTCCTCCACCTCGCCCATCCCTCCCGTCTTTCCTCCTCCACTCTCCCTTCCTCCCTTCCTTCCGTCTTCCTTTCACCTCCATCACCCCTCCCTTCCCGCTGCTGGTCCTCTGCCTCGTCCCCCATGTACGCAAGTGTGTGTGTGTGTGTGCGTGTGGATATTTAGTCAGTTGAATCGTCCTTCTGTGCTTTGGCTTATCGCCTATCTCAACTCGTGCTGGCGCGCTGCAGTGCGCGCGTGCGTTTGTACCGTTGCGCTTGAAGCTCATCTGGCCCACAACAGGAGCGGACCTGAAGCCCGAACCGTGCCATTACCGAAGAAATGGCAGAGGCCGTATTCACATCAAGTGCTTCCCCCTCTCCACACTTGGCCGGCAGCTTCAAGCAACGATAGTAAGTAGCGTCAAGCTTAGAGGAGGACGACGAAGAGGGCGAAGTGCAGGCGGCGGACGACGGGAACGAGGACGGGGAGGGGAGGAATGAGCAGCAGGACGTGCACCCGCACCGCTATGAGGAGGAGGAGGAGGAGGAGGAGGAGGAGGAGGAGGAGGAGGAGGAGGAGGAGGAGGAGGAGGAGAGAGAGGAGGCGGGGAGGAGGTCGAGGCGGAGGAGGAGGCGGAGGAGGAGGAGGAGGAGGATGAGGACGATGACAGGAGGAGGAGGAGGAGGAGGAGGAGGAGGAGGAGGAGGAGGAGGAGGAGGAGGAGCGGAGGCGCAGGAGGAGGAGGAGGAAGAGGAGGAGCAGGAGGAGCAGGAGGAGGAGGAAGAGGAGGAGGAAGCGGAGGCGCAGGAGGAGGAGGAGGAAGAGGAGGAGCAGGAGGAGCAGGAGGAGGAGGAAGAGGAGGAGGATGAGGACGAGGAGGAGGAAGAGGAGGAAGAGGAGGCAGAGGAGGAGGAGGCGAAGGCGGAGGCAGAGGCCGAGGCTGAGGCTGAGGCTCAGGCTGAGGAGGGGGAGGATGGATGATGATGATGATGAGGAGGAGGAGGAGGAGGAGGAGAAGGAGGTGGAGGAGGAGAAGGCGGAGGCGGAGGCTGAGGCTGAGGTTGAGGCTGAGGCTGAGGAGGAGGAGAATGAGGAGGAGGGGGAGGAGGAGGAGGAGGAGGAGGCGGACGCTGACGCGGAGGTCGCGGAGGAGGAGGAGGATAAGGAGGAGGAGGAGGAGCAGTTGCAGCAAAAGCAGGATGAAAGGGAGAAGGATGAGATGGTGATGCTGCAGATACTGATGCTGCTGATGATGATGATGATGATGGTGATGCTGCTGCTGATGATGATGGCGATGATGATAATGATGCTGATCTTGATGATGATCATGATGCTGATGTTGCTGATGATGATGATGATGATGATGATGATGATGATGATGATGATGATGATGGTGATGACGATGGTACTGCGGATGATGATGCTGGTGATGCTTGCGCTGCTGATGATGGTGATGCTGATGGTGATGATGGTGTTGATTACGATTATGATGATGCTGCTGATGTTGCTGCTGCTGATAAGGATGCTGATGATACAGCTGATGATGATGCTGATGAGGATGACGCTGATGCTGATACTGATGCTGCTGACGATGATGACGGTGCTGATGCTGGCGATGATCACAATGATGACAACGATGCTGTTGAAGATGATGAATCTGAAGATGATGCTGATGATGATGATGACGCTTATGATGATGATGATGCTGCTGATGATGATGATGCTAATGATGATGATGGCGATGATGATGATGATGATGATGATGATGATGATGATGATGATGATGATGATGGTGGTGCGGAGGATGAGGATGAGGATGATGCTGATGATGATGATGATGATGATGATGATGATGATGATGGTGAGGAGGAGGAGGAGGAGGAGGAGGAGGAGGATGAGGATCAAGGCTAAACGTAACGAAGGTTCGGGGAACCTAGGTGTGGCGATTAGCTTTGAACTCTCCCGCAAACAGATGGCTCGAGCCATCTTGGGGCTGAGGGCCCACGGCGACATTTCCCTGGCAGGCAGCCAGACCTCTCTCCTCCCAGACATGCCCGCAGTTGCCATGGACGACAGGGAGACCTTCGTATCCCCACCGATCTTGCCTCGAGACGATCGCAGCCGCAGTGGTGAACAGGCGCGGCGTGCGCAGGATCTCGCTCTGGCACCAGCTGAAGGAGTCCGACGGCCAGCAGCGCAGTCACCTGCCAACCGTGGAAGGCGCGCGGCTACATCTGGTGGCACTGGCGGCAGTGGTACCCCAGCGGCGGCCGCGCGTCGCGCGGCTCCTGCTGTCCAGCCTCCTGGCGGTCCTCCGCTGCAGCACCCCCAGCTTCCCAACCTTCCTCCACCAGGTGGACAACAACACGCTGGCGACGGGGACATTCGCCAGTATGTGGATGCCACCAAGAACACCCTCATGGAGGCCATCCAGAACATCCAGACCTCGGTCGCCACCCTCGCTGGCACAGTGCAGACCTCATGTGAGTCCCTCGGCCAGCAGATGGAACGTCGTCTGGCATCAGTGGAGACCACGAGCAAAGCACAGGGCCAACGCATCTCAGTCTTGGAGGATAAGATCACGAGGTTGGAGGAGCTGTTCGGCATCATGCAGTCCGAGCGCCCGTCCATCCAGCCGATCCCAGATGCCGACTTCATGCGCGCGCCTGACCCGACCATCATCGTGGCCAGGGCGAAGAACATGGTGCAGCAACGCGAAGTCAGGAACACACTCGACGGATGGTTCCAGCAATTTCAGGTCCAGAACGAGGAGGTCCGCATTGAGAGCGATCCCTCGGACACCAAGTTTGTCATCCGTTTCCTCGGCAACGCCAACCTCGCGTCCAAGCGAGTGGCGAAGGCGATCTCTTTTCTTCGTGGACGTGTCGGGTCTTGGCAGAGGTTCACGGTCAGGGATCCCATGGGCCACAACCATGAGCTGTTCCTGTCCCTGGACAAGAGCCCGTGCATGGTCAAGACAGAGATCTCGCCCAAACGTGCACGCAAAGTTTTGGAGTCAATCTATGGCGTTCACCCGCACAACATCAAGTTCTTCACGGACAAATCCCAGGGCACGATCTCAGCACAATGGAAACAGTTGCTCAGGATTTCTATCAGCGGCCCTGGGGTGCAGCCCACGGTCGAGTATGCAGATGACCACTTGCAAGAGCTTGGCATGGTCAAGGAAGCCATCAAGTCAAGAGTTGATGCGGCGCTCTCGAACACCTCGCAGCCAACGCGGCGGTGCTCCTAACACATTCTTCAAGACATGGGCTGGCGGAGGCTCGAAGGAGTTGCCGCTGTTTCTTGCCTCATGGAATGCTCGTGCTCTCTTTCATCATCAACTGGGGCTTCGCGGCCGCAAACTGTCATATCTTTCGTCACTGTTCATCCAAGGGGGCTCGGTTGCAGTGCAAGAATGCCACGGCACGCAATTTGAAGTTGATGACTTCCTCTACCACCTCCATCGCCCATTCCGCGCCTTCTCCTCCTTCTGTGACTCTGGCGAGGACAACGCTCCCTCTAATGCGGGGGGAATTATTACGTTCGCTCCTGATTTTGGTCAGCTCCATGAAACTAATCGTCCGCAGATTGTTCATCAGGTTTGGGTTCCAGGACGCGTTCAACAGCTTCAAATTAGTGTTCCTAATGGAGCTTGGATCTCTCATTGGAACATACATAATCACAACCTCGCCACTTACCGTAGGGATATCATTTCCAGGCAATTCAGGACGACCTCGCCAGGGCCTCTCGGGACCCCATGCACTCGTTCGTGGTTGTCGTCGGGGACTTTAACGTGTCGCATCTTCCTCCGCGCCATCTGCACGACCATCCTCTTGCTCAGCAGCAGTTGCAAGGTTGGCGACGTCAGCGAGAGACCGTGTGGCGCCAGATCTTCGGGCCCATGACGGAGGTGGAGGTGGGGGGCCACACTCATTATCACAAACCTAGCCACACGACCTCTAGTCTGGACCGCCTCTTTGTAAGTGTTCCAGGATGGGCTCTGGCTCAACTTAGTGCCGCTTGTCAGGTGCACGGCTTTCCTGAAGTTATGCGCCAGCTTGAGCTGTCCGACCACGCAGCAGTCTCGACGGTGATGAACCCCAGGGACCCTCTCAAGCCCGAAGATAGGCCGATCCCCCACGACATCTTCAAGCGCCCAGAATATCGGAAATGTGTTCAGGCTGCTGCGCTGGATGTCGACGCGAGCTCGCCGTCACCACCGCTCTTGCTTGCTTTTCAGAAGAAGGTGATGAGATCGGCGGCCCA